ATTCCTCCTTTCTAGCGTGCCCACATCCCCCCACATCTTAGTGTCATCAGCAAATGTGAACAGGGTGCTTTTTACCCCCCTCGTCCAAGTCACTGATGAAGATGTTGAACAGTGCAGGCCCGAGGACCGAGCCCTCATATGACCTCATGCAGGGCTTTTGTCTATATATGACAAAACAGTGAAGGCTTTCCTTGTCACACTTTAATTCCTACCAGTGTCCTTTTTTAGCAGGCTTAAAAATTTATTAGGGGCCTCTCAACAACAGGAGGTTGACAGATATAGAGAGGAACAGTGTGGGTTAAAGCCTTTTAAAAAGTATTATTACAAAAGTATTATTTATGATTTTCAAACATAAATAAAGGAGATAAAACTTTCAGCTCAAGCCAGCTGACTCTAGGAAGCTGCTTTTCTCCAACTGGACTGCATTTGCAAAAGATGGGAACTTGAAGAGAACATTTATCTTCTAACTGTGATTTGTGTTCCTTAAAGAAAAAAAGTACAGATTGCAGCCGGTAAGGTGTCCCAACCAGCTGAATTTTTAACTTTCACACAAAGGACAGAATATTTTGAGGTATCGTTGGTCTTCTGAAGGAGAGAAACAGGGGGTTGAAGGATTGAATCTAACAGTTAAAAGTAGAGGAATGGGATGGAAACTGCGTTTTGCATTGTCTCTCTCAGCGAAAGGGGGTTATGTCTAATTGTGAAACCTGAGGCCCTGGGTTCAGGGCTCCTGAAGGCTATTCCTGACTACCACAAAATCACAAAGTGAATGCAAGCAAAGCACATCTCTCTGCTTGAGCTCCTTCCCAAGCAAACGTAGAGATAACACTATCACGTTACCAGGCAGGCGCGGTCCAGAGCTGAATTCAAGTCTGCAAAGTGTTTTGAGATCCCTGGATGAAAGGCATAAGCACAGTGTAAAGACAAAGCAGCAATGCAATACAGCAGCGAGTAGCTGACACTCTTCGGCTATGCACATCACAGTTCACCAAAGGAAATCTCTTGCTATTTCTATCAGGAGGAATGAAAATGAATTCACTCAGGTTGTGCCACAGCTCAAGACAGGGATGTTAGAAGTTGAACCCCTCCCTCCCCTCCCCCTGCTGCCAGACGGGAAGCCCCGGCTCACACCCTCTGCTTTCCAATTCTATTTCTGGTGGCTTTGAGGAGGGCAAGTATTAGATGCTCTTCCATGTGTAGAGTAGCAGGCCTGCTTTGCAGTTAGTGCCTAGCCCAACCTTCCCTTCAAACAGCCTTTTTACAGTGTTTTCTCTGGCATGTGTTGGGTTATGACTGAATATTCAAAAACAGAAGTCACAGTGATGGAAATGAGCTCAAAGAAGCAGACCAGAAAAAAACAGGGGAGGCATTAGACTAAGGAGCACCAAGCCCAGCACTTTTGCATTGTGCCTTGGCTGATGGGCCTCTTGTTCACTCCACTCAGGCAAGAACGGTCAGGACAGGCTGCAAAACAAACTTATGGGCAAGAGAAGCAAAACCTCCTGGCTTAGGAGTGAGGAGGAAGGGAGAGTGGGATAGTGAAGGTTAGCCCTGTACCCAATGACCAAGAGGAGAAACTAGAAGCAGAAAGGGCTTATCAACTATCACCTTCCAATCCCATTCTTCTGCCCCTGTGGGATTGTCCTCCACAGCACCTGCTTCACCCAAATCTCTCTCCAACAACTCAGCTAAAGGGCCTTCACCCTTTCCAATTAAGAGGCCACTTTTCTCCCTAAAAGATGCTACTGATATTGCATGTTCTTATAACCAGTCCCCAATCTGCTTGATCTCACAAGATTTCCCTTTAGTTTTGGAGCTCATGTTAACCATCTCACAAGACTTCTCTCCCTCATTAGTATTTATACTTTTTCAGCATGTGTAGCATTAATCCCATCCCTCTCAGCATTTAACCAGCAAGACAGACTGATACACAGGCATGCACAATGAGATACACACACGAGATTAGATATATGTAGGGGAGACAGTGCCCATCAGTAGGGTTTGTGCCTTCAAAGATACATGTGCTTGTCTTAAAGTGTCTCCCAGTTCAAAATTTCCTACAGCAAAAATAATGCTGCACACTCAATTCTAACACAGTTGTTTGAGTAGTGGGCTGCTGTGGCATGCCACTACAACCAAACCCCCTATGACATGCCACTGCATTTCCCTTTCAGCTCAGTTTCCCTGTTATACAGAAAACAAATGTAGTGGGAGATCCTGTAACAGGGACTCCCAGCTGTGATTATCTGTAGACATTTTTCTTGCTAGGTCTCACCCAATAGTCACATTAAACTGCAGAGATTCACAGGCAGAAATAGCCTCTTGGATGAATAAATCTGTGCTGTCTATACTGTGACCCATGCCCTAATTAAAGGTGGTTTGTGAGCTGGAGGAAGAACAATTGGCTTTGCTGTTGCTCATGGCACTAGCTCACTTGCTGTGACATCAATTCAAACAGCTAGGCAGCGGCAAGCCCCCTGAAGCCTATAGAGTATTGGCAGCAGACTCTACCAGGCAATACATAGGCAGTACCATCGTATGCTATTTCTATAGCATACCTGATCTCTAACCACTTTGAAAATAGTGCCTCTCTCAATTTTAGAGCAATAATTTACTCTTGGTCATGTAGCTGATCAGAGCTAGAGACAGAACCCTGGAGTCCTAATGCCGTTTGCTCTGTTCTTCCCCTTCACAACCAGCAAAACCTGTACAATATCCTCAACAACGCTCAAAGGAGTTTACGGATCTTATGCTCAGAAGCTCATTTACTGACCCATGTCTTACATGGGTCTGTTCCTCTTCTGCACAAAGTGGCCTGTGCCTTCCAAGTGAGCAGCACCATAGATAACATGAATCAAAAGGAGAAATATGCTGGCGAAGATCAGGAAAGGCCATTGCTCGCCTGTCCTGTAACCCAGGAACACTTACAGGACCCTGCAACCTCTTCCCTTGCCAGACTGGGCAGTGAGAGATGGTCTTTGAGTGATGACTATGAAACCTCCCTTACCCCTAAGGCAAGCCAGGCACTTGTCATCACTTTTGAGCTCCCAGGGAGAGGTTTTTGGAGAGTCTGCGGTGCTTATGGATATGGTTTGGGGCTATGTTCATTTCTCCAGGATCTCCATGTAGGATATTCCACTTCATTATCCAGGAGAGGGGAATATTTCTCTCTGAATCTCCTTTCTTCAGGCTAAGGGGGCAGATCAAAGCAAGAACTAAGCATGGAATGTGCTTGAAGACACTGAGAACAGCAGCTTAGGGAGGGTGTCTTTATAGCCAGGCTGCCTCCTCTCTCCTGTTAATTCAGCCATCTCACCTCTTTTGGGAGATGGGATGGGGAATTCTTCCATCTCGGACAACTTTCCTTCATAGGAAGAACTGAAGTAGGGTTCCACCTCTGTCCAGTGAAGAGCAAAATGGGGGATTTGGTCAGTAGTAACAAGAGTTTTATTTCTTCTCTTTACTTTCTGGAGGGAGTCAATGAGATCTCCGCAGCAATGTGTCTGCATGTCCATGCCAGAGCCTCCAGCCATGGCAGTAAACTTCATGTGTCGCCCATCATTCCAGGTTAGGGCTGTTCAGACATGCAGGGCATGGACTTACAACTAGCAATAGTGCCTGCTTAGCAGACTGCCCACCCCAACAGAAATTAAGCACCTTCCAGCAGAGAGCTCCTTGCCCTCCATCATACATGTGATAGAACGAACAGTGCATTGCTCACGGACGTCTCCACTCCATTACGCTGGACCTAGTCACCTGGCCAGCAAGGAGAAGCCTGAAAGGAGCTCCATTTAGGACTGGCTGGAGAAGTCAATTAAGAAACTCCCAGACCTGTGCAGCAGACATGGAATGACAATCAGCTGATGCGTGTGGGTTCTTCTCACTTTACTACTGGCAACACCAAGCTTAGCTAGCGAGGTGAAATGCCTCCTCTCTCAAGAGGGCTAGAGACTGAGGGAGCTACGGCTGTGGTTTTGGGCTCATCACTGGAGTTGTCAAGGATCAAAATCTCCAGCAGGATATCTAAAAAGGAGAAAACCAGGTGCCTGAAACACACAAAGGAGAAAGAACAGGCCCATCAATTGAGTCTGGCAAGTCTTTCAGCACGCAAAAGCAAGTCCTGAAACATGTGAGGTGCGCTCCCAGCTACAGAGTGTTCATTAGGGGCTACAGCATCCATCTGGGGTATGTACACACAGCAAATCCCACTCACTGAAAGAGGAAGAGAAAATGTTTCAATGGTAACTAATGTGTTTTCTCTTCAAAGTGCTGAGCATTGGACACCGAGCGGTTTGGAAAAGCAGAATAAATCTCAAAGAAGGATTAGTGGAGGAAAACAGCAAGGGGGCTTGATGTACAGATATGTGCTTGTCTCTCAGTTCTACAGTGCATGATATGACTATAGCTTTTCGCTTGCATGGTGCATGTGTTCATAGATGTCAAACACTCATACATATATATACTTCCCTGGACAAAGGGACAACCCATGACTTGATCTGGTTTCCTCTCAAGACATATGTGCATCAATTAAGTCAGAAGATTCATTGAGAAAACTCTGATTGCACTGATTAGTTTGTTGTTTTGAAGTTGTGTGAGAGATCCTACCAGGTTGAAGGATTCTTCCAGTTTTCCCATCTCTGAAGTTTCATTTAAAACTTTCCAACTGCTGAGCCATTCAAGGGCACTCACCATGTAATGTACTGCCTCACTACAGGGGAAGAAGCTAAGAAAGGCCCATGACCAACACTACCTGTTCATGATGGGTTGATGCAGAGACTCAAGTACCAAGTTCCAGCTCAGTTGACATTTGCTTGTCCCCAGGATTTCCAGGATTATGTCTGTTAACATCAGAGACAGACACTGGTTTTAAAGGTCAATATGCAATCCAGGGCAAACTTACCTCACATATGGACTTCTATGCAGTGGTTGCAAAAAGGACTTTGGCAACAGATTAATCAATTAGCCAAAGACACGGATTTGTCCTCTGATTGCAGAAGTGCCAAAAAAATAAACATGCCATAAGCTCAGCCTTAATATCAAAACGATATCCTGTTCCAGAACGAAATGTGGGAGATGGCTTCCAGGCTGCTGTGAAAGCTGCTAGCTAGTAATAATAAACAACATATGTAGAAAATGCCCTTCCTCACAGAGACACAGAGGGCTCTTAGGCATTATGGTAATGCAAATAATAAATACTAATGATACAGTGTTGTATAAATTACTCACAGAGGGATTCCGCTGCAGCTGTTTTCAAGCATACAGAATCACAATATGAGATGCTGGCAGATGGTAATGTGAAAGATGACCACCTGGCCAGGACGCCAGGGCTTATGAGGTTGAGTGTGAAGGAAAAGTACCCCCCCCCCACCTCCTCCCAAAATTCTTAAAAGATAAACAGCAAAGACCTCTGTTTTCAGCCTCCTCTGAAGGATGGTACTTTTGTAGCCCAGGATCCTGAGACACCAATTCATTAATGAGTAGCTCAGAGGGAAATGCATCACCTAGTAAATCACCAATACAGAGGGCACAAAACCAGACAGCTCATATCAAAGAGATGCCAGACTGGAGGCTCTCGCATCACTGCTGTTTCCTGAGGAGCTAGTGCGAATTATCTAAGGTGACTGGAGGCACTCAGGGCTAAGACTAACTGAGAATACCTCTGGCACTAGCAGCAGTTTCATACATGGGCCATTCATAACATAATGCAAATTTGGCGGGACATGAATTATAGCGTGGTGGATAATGGTGTCAAAACTGCAGAGAGAGGTGCTATTTTTCAAATGGTTTAATGCCAAATGCGATGAGGGCAGGGAAGAGGAGAGGAGAGGGAAAGGGGTAGTCTCTGCCTGGTTCTGTTCCCAATGGTGGCCGTCAAGTCTTCAAAGCTCTGGTTCATTTGGCTGTATCCTCATGCAGTGCGTAACCCCCCACACTGTGTACAACACCCACAGTACAAAAGAGACTGGCTCCAGGCATCTCCTTTGCACCTGTTCTTTGAGTTAATAAAAGGGAGGCTTTAACAAGAGATGCAACAGATTCCTAAGACTAACCCTGCCTTATGCAAAAGAGGTTGTGGCTATTAACCTGATGCTGTGGCTAGAAGCCCTTGGTTATTTATGCTGTGGCAAACTCACCAGGCAGTATTCCCATCAGGCTCTGCAATGCCTGTTCTGCTGCTGCCTTCTTCTGCTCCTGGGTCCTGGCTGGCTTAGGCACCACCGGTAAGATTCCTCCTGGCCATATGGACTCCTGCAGCACCCGGAGGTACTGGACCCAGTGCTGAGTGCAGGTCAGGTTGGCCACCTGCACTTCTAACCATCTATAGAGAAAGAGAGGGGTCAAACAGGAGAAGAGCAGGCATTCCCCCAGACCCCTCCTGCCAGTCCAAGACTCCTAGACAGGGGAAACAGGCTTCATAAGATCCTGTGCTCTTTGCAGCAGTGCCTTAGAGCATATCACAGCCGCTTCCTCAAGTGTTAATTAGCTCAGCCTCCTCACCCCTGCAATCCAGGTAGAACTTATTAATTCCATTTTACAGACAGGCAAACATAGGCAGAGCCAGTCACTTTTTAGCGATTTCTGTCCGAGGGAGCACAGGCCATGCGTTTCATGTCATCAAATTAGACAAGCGTAATGCCTGCGTTTGGAAAGCTGCAAGCAGCCCAGGTCTGGGGTTGTGGGAGGCAGGGAGAGAGAGCGTTCAGGGATCAGTCTGCCTGTGCCCAAGGCCAGCTCTCACTTGGGGTGGAGTGGGAAGAAAAGCCAAGGCAGGTTCAAGGGAAGGTGCTCAGGGGCGAAACTAGCTTGGAGGCCCTAGGGAATTATTCAAGGTCCTTCTGGAGATCAAAGCCATAAACACCTCGGGCAGAGAGGGGTGAATGACGTGGTTCTTTTTATCCATCTCACTGGCCTGTTCCCCACCCCCTGCATCTCTTACAGCTCAACTCCATCACCAGAAAGTCATGAAATCATCGCATCTCGCATCCAACACTCTGCGCTGCACATCCATTAAAAGCAAAGTATGAACCTGCCAATAACATGTCTTGCCGGCCCTCCTGCTGTGACAGGACTGTGCCCTTTATACGGTAACGACCTGCAAATCCTGAGGCTGTGCCCAGGGGAATGTCGCTCCACATAAGGGCTGAGAGGCATGTGCAGCCGCTGCAAAAGCAGCCATTGGCACCAGCCACGCTGGCCAGGAAATGTTACTAAATCAACTGCAGGTACCCACCAGCCAAGACATTAAACCACTCTCTCAAGTAACAGCAGTTACCACTGCTGTCAATCAGACATGGACTTCCAAGCTCTCACTGCCTCTCAAAATGTTTCTGTAGTGTGTGATACTCTACAGCTCTGGGGGAATTGTAAGCTGAACCCCGATACTACCGAAGTCAACGGCAAGACCCGCAGATATCAAGGGAACCAGGTCTCAGCTCCACTGCATTGAAGAGAAGGATGTAGTACGGCTTGATCTGGGAAATTTGCAGCCCCATCTCTACTCTGTCCCTGCCTCTACAAAGAACAGTCAAGTGTTATCCGGGGTGGGAGAAGAAACTGCAGTTTCTCCAGTCCTTCAAGAGTCCCTGCAGACAGCAGCATCCGAAGACCCGGCCCACTTGGCAGCTCACGCTCATGCTTGCAATTCCGTCACCACTACGCCCCAGCGGCTCGTAGTACATCCAAGAACACAGGCTCTGCCAAGGCAAACTTTATTTAACCTGCACTCTGCCAGACTGTCTGCATTCCTCTGAGGCTGGGCATTCAAGCCAAGGCCTGCTTAGCCTGCTTCCCCGTGCAAATGTACTCGCACTAATAGAAACACTGCAAGGTAAGAGAGCAGCAAGAACTACAGGTGCTACTAGTGGCTGTCAAGAATAAGGCTATAACTCAACTGTTTCTCACTGCGCTTCTTCCTTAATGTTTTAAATAGTTCATCTGCCTGCCTATAAATTCCTAGGTACTTTTCAGTATGTGCACATGCAGAGAGGAAACCAAGAAGAAAATAAAAGAAAAATCAGTAGGGTGCTAGTGCTAAGAAGCAGGAAAGGTCTCTGGAACTTCTCTCAATACGTCCACACAGCAGCACAAAGATGGGACTGCAGTGCATGCTAGCTTAATAGCTAATCACTCTGAAGCCCCTGCTGACACATCTTCACTGCTATGAGTACCCATGCTAATGAGATTAGAGTTAATGTGGATATGTGAATGTCTGCCACAACCCACACCTTCATTTGCTGTGGGACTGTATGCTCAGACAGAGCCAGTTTCTAGGACTCCTTTGGGGAAATGGGGTGGCTGGATGGCTGTCACTGATTTGAGGGAATAAGGATAGAGAAACCTCTAGTAAGTAATGCTTTGGTTTGTAATGCAATAAGATCAGGGCTTTCTTATGGAAGTGCTATGTGAGTATGTTCTTGGGATCAAAAGCCAGGTTTCTATCATCCTTACAAAGCAAGATAATATAAGCCCTGCCTAGACTAAATGGTCCTGTTTGAAAACCTGTTGGCTTAAACACAGGTCTGGCTGTAGCATCAGCATAGCTTTACTGTCTTTAAACTTGTGCTAGCTGGTCATGCTAAACTAACCACAATCAACACATGCACTTCTTATGGTGTTAAACTTTGCCTAGTCCAAGGACAAGGCCATGTTTACAACCTATTAACTAACTCATACATCCTAGCCTGGACATTATCTCAGTGTATGGCAGAAGTTCACAGACGTAGGGTTAAAACTCAGTACATGCTGCAAGAATATACCTCGAGTTACTAAATTGAATGTTTAGTCAGACTTAATTTTCTCTACTATATTCATGGACTGGTATGTGCTTGTGGAAGGGCAAGCACAAATGAGTGTGGACTTATGCCCCAGATAGCTACTTTTTAAGTTAATGTTTGAGAAATGTGAATGTGGAGTTATAAGCATCAGCACCAGGCTTTTCAATTTCAGAGGTGGAAGTACATTTATGCTGAACAAAAAGCATGTTTTTAACTTGGGTCGGCTAATCCAAGTTAACTAAGTGACCTCATTAACATGAAGGCAAGATAACTTGGGTTTGCAATCTGAATTAAACCTCAGGCTTATTCTTTGGCTTGAACTTACCCTGCAACCTCAAATTAAAGAAGTCAAGTTGCCTTGTCTTCTCTGTTATTTTAACCTGAGTTAGCTACTTCAGTTTAGCCAACCTGAGTTAAGATCACAAGACTTTTTTTTTCCAGCGCAGGCATACCTTTCATTCAGTCAGCAGACAGAAACATAATATGTGACTCCATCCAATTAAAGCAGCTTGAATTTCAAATACTGATTACTCTCACTGAACTGGCGGCACCCTGTAAGTATCCAAACAGCAAACTGGACATAACAGAGAGCACATTCATGAACCGTTTGAGAACAAAACAAGAGGGGATTGTTCAGTGCAAATGACCTGGCTCATCCCTTTTTAGGACACAGTTCATTTATTGCTGTAACAACCCCATAATCAGGCAACAGTGCCTAAGTAACACTCATAAATCTCAGGCATACATTTATTTGTTTTGATCATGCAAATGGTTACAAGGCATAGCTCTTGTGACTGCATAAACACAGGCTTGAGGGGTTTTAATTCATTATAGGCTATTGCTACTTTCCAACCTGGAGGCTGAATGCAGGGGCAGAGGAGAAGAATGACCCAGACTCACTCCGCTCCCTCTGTGCCAAGGTGCCCCTTCAGCTGCAGAGAAAGCAGCAGACCGATCTCGAGAAGGTACCCAAACTCTACCTTTATTCGTGTTGCAGGAGCAGCTCCTGTGTGCCTGCTGCTCCCATCTCTTGTACTGGGCAGTGCCCATCTGAAAGACTGCACGTGGCATTTTATCCTGAGTGGTTACCACCGCCTCAATGAACACTCTTTGGGGGAGCTGGGGGAAAGCAGGGAAGCCACAGGGAAAGGGGACACAAAGTGAAGGAGAGGAAGAAAATGAAAGTCAAATTGTATCAGTTATGCTAAGAAGAGCCTTTTACTATCCCAGAATGAGCAGCTCCACTAAGGGTTGGCAAGAACTGCCCAGCTGGACCATACCAGGACCCATCTAGCTCACTGCTCCATCTCAAAAGGGCCAGCACTGGGTGCTTCAATTGAAGACAAAGAAAACACCCAATAACTTACTTATGGGGGGAAACCTCTCCCAACTTCAGAGGTGGTACAGTCACCCACCCTGGCGATCTTCAAAAAGCATCTTGGCACCCATCTTGCTGGGGTCATCTGACCCCAGTGGTCTTTTCCTACCCAAGTGCAGGCGGGCTGGACCCGACGATCTGTAAGATCCCTTCCAGCCTCTAACAGCTATGAAACTATGACGTTCCCATTAGCAGCTGGACAACTGCTCTACCCACATCGGATCTCTGAACCAGGGTCTGCTGAAGGCAGTGAAGAACCTCTCATTCCCTGACAAGCATGCTTGTTTTTGCATACAATAATTCCACAGTAGAAACCCGAGAAGGTGGAAATTATATTTATCAACATTAAAAAGCCAGGAGCCAAATTACTTTGGCTTTGGCAATTTTATTTGGTGCTTGAGGCAAGACAAATCAATTCATAGAAAATCCCAGACGATTCAAACCCAAAACTGCTATGGTAAAATGACATTCCCATCAAGCAGAGTACTGCAATAAATACACAACCAATGCCACAAAATGATTAAGAGTTAATATTTCTTATGAATAGATTTTATTGCCCAAGGCTGCCAATGTGGCACCTGAATTCAGTTCACATGTACTTTTTTTGTGCTGCTAGAGGACTAATATTTTAGGACAGACCCCCAGAGCAGACCAGACCAGACCAGACAAACACATGCAGAGGAAACAAGGTAGAAATATATCCACTTAGAAATACAAACAGAGCTGGTTTTATTTTGGATGGCTGATAAGTTGCTATTTCCACTCTGGTATTTCATGCAGAAATAGCACCAAAAAGAAAGAAAAACAAGTCCATCACTGAACCATCTCCTCATGCTAGAGAGAAAAGCAGAAATAGATAGTAACTGCCCTCCCGCCCAGGACTTGGATGTTAAAAAGCTTTGATGATGCCCGGTGCAGAAAGACAGACTGCAGAGGCAGTGGGTCCTGGCTTCTTGTCTGGAGGTGCATAACTTGTCCATGCCGTAAGGGTCCTCTGTTTGAAATAGCTGCCGATGGAGGAATGAAGTGACTGCTAAAAAGAGCTGGTTTAATACCAGGGCTTAAGAAGGAACTTCAAGGTCAGCTGAAGGGGCCCATCAAGATGAGAGAAGCATGAAAGCCCTGGAGATGAGGATCAGGTTGGATGGCACGAAAAGCAACAGGGGC